CCTTCTGCGTGTTCAGTCATTTTTTGCACTACGGGAAAACTGGCATGTCCTAACTTCCTATGCAATATGTGAGCACACTCATCATGAATTGGTTTACCTATCTTTGGCTTCTTATCGTTGTGTGCATCTGTGTGATCATGAGATATTTTACATTCATCATTGTCATTGTTGCTAACATTCTCATCATCTATTTCAATACAATCTTCCATATTTGAATCAATGTTATGTAACCATTTTTCTTTTGTTATTAGGTAAGGCAGTCCTCCTTTAGTCACCACAGTGCCTACATTTATTTTATTCTTTTCCAAAGTTGCCTTTCCTTTTGAAAAGACAATGTTAATGTCAGAATCTCTGCTTAGTTTTATGGCACTTAATATGTTATGAGGTATTTCAGGTATTAGTAATACCCCCTCTATTTTTCCTAAACCAGGCAAGGTTACATTTCCTCTACCTAATACTTGAACCTTTTCTTGGTTAGCTACCTTAATTACAAATTTATCTTCTGCAAATGAAGACAATATACTTTTGTTATTAGTGGTGTGATTAGTTGCTCCAGAATCAATAAGCCAATTATTGTTCTCACTTTGTTGTGTGTTAGTGTTGTCTTGTTTATTTAATCCATTCAGTGAACCAGACTTTCTATCCTTTGAATTGTCTCTGCCCCCTCTATTCTCTCTGTGATTTGGTGGGCTCCTATATCTATGCCTTTCTATGGAAGGCTGTCTATAATCGTATTTGTTTCTGTATTCTGATCTATATCTTTCTTTTAAGAATTTTGGGCAATCTCTTCTATTGTGTTCCCTGGATCCACAATTATGACATTTAAATGTTCCACTATATTTTTCTTGGAAAGCTACTTTCCTATATGGTTTATGTTCTGTGTGATTGTTAGAACGATTCCTTCTAGAATTATCTTCTGTTATCAATTTGTTAGATAGACTTTCTATGGATAAATACCCTAGATTGATTGTGTCTAAATGTGACATAAAATTGTCCCATGATGGGTCAAGTGAGTTGATAATGACACTTTTCATTGTTTGGTCTGAAATCACCTCCCCCCTCAAATGCAGTTCAGCTCTTATTTTGTTCAAAGATATTAAATGTTCACTTATGGAAACCCCTGGTTTTATCCTAGATGAAAAGAAGTCTTTAGATATCCTTGTGGTGGTGGCTACACTGTCACTGTGAAACAAATTAAACATGCATTGAATAATTTCTGAAACAGTCAAATTTGGCTTAATGCTGTGATACATTGCAGGAGACACACTAGATATTATTAAGAAAAAAGCTCTATGGTGTAAACAATCTATTTTTAGTGTCCAAGGTCTTTTGGGGGACTAGTGATAAAAAACAGTAAGTTTTCCTTCATAAAGACAACCTGGAGCTGTTGATACCATTCTTGTAAATTAATGCCATCAACCCTTAGTTTTGGGAAGTCACTGGGTAAATTTCCGACATTATTGGGTCCATTACTTACAACCTGAGGTAGTCCGTGGTCTCGTAAATGCAGAAAATTGCAAAACGGCATGGGGATGCTCGCTACGAGTCTGCATGATCTTCTCTCCTGTTCATGTCTTCCCGGATCGTCAGCGTAGTTTCGCGCATGCGCGTTGCCCATTTCTTCTTCGGCGTCGTCGTGGAAGTTCTCCTCATTGCGGCTTGCTCGCTCTGCTCTTCTTCAGATGAGTCGGTCTCTGGTTCGACTTTGGGGGTTCTGGCGACGGTGGCTGTTCTTCCTCTTCTATTGAAAGCGTTGGTGCTTGCTTCGGTCTGCGGCGTAGGGCGGTATCGGCAGGGCTCTCTGGGTTCCGGCGTCAGCGCTCTAGTAGTCAGGATGGGAGCGGGCAGGTCTTGAGGCATTGGCTTGCTCGTTCGCTTTTTTGGTGTCTTTTTAGTAATTTTCAGTTTTGGCCCAAATGCAGCAAAGAGCGTTTTCATCGCTGATTTTATTTGGTGTTTTGTTGGATCTTCCTCGCTTTCTGGTTCTGATTCTTCTGAGGTGTTTGAATCTTCCTTTTCGTTTTCGTTGTCCGATAATATTTTTCGCGCCAGAAATTTTGAATTGAGCTTGCTGATTGGCTCTTCTTCGTTCATCTTGGAGGCCGGTTGAAACCAAGATGGCTGCCATTCAAATTTTTGCGCGGGATCATCGTTTTTCTTCTTTGTAATGATTTTCTCCGCAGTCATATTACTCACTATTTTTGGATCTTTGGGTTTTTCATTGGTGATGTTTTTTCTCTCTCGCTGCTCCGCTGTTCTTTAGCATATCTTGGAGGTTCGCGATGAGGCTTTCATCATTCTTCTGGCTTTTTAATAGTTTTAATATCTCTGACCTGAGTTCGTTATTTTCTGTTTCGATTTCCTCCTGGTCATCAATTATTTCTTCGTCTTCAGTGGTGTATTCTTCGGATTCTCTCGAAATTGCATTCGTGGATTCGTTGATTATTTCTTGTTCCGTTTCCATTTCTTTGCTGTAGGCCCTGGTGTTGGGCCTATCTTTCTTAGACATTTTAAAGCTTTTTATTGAGTCAATTAACCATCCTCTGCTACCAGTTTGTTGCAATATTTTCAGGATCAGACTCAATAAGATCAACGAGAGTTAAAGATTTAACTATATATTCTTTTATTTACATTAGGCATTCTATATTCACTGAATATTCACAGATAGAAGCAAGGGAAATGGTGTAGGTAGCTCCTTATATATACAATGGGTGGAGCTATATGTGGGAGTGGTGAATTATGAATACATTAAGAAGTGAAGAATAAGTTAACCCTGATACCCTGTTCTGTACACTATTTACACATTGGAGAATAAGGCATTTATATCTGACACGGTTGTTGGAAGAAATCATTAGGGCAGAGATCCGGTTGTTAAATTACTTGAATCCCACCACTGGGCTAATGCATCTAACACCAGAGAAATCCCATTTTTACTTCAACTACAACCACAGCAGCTCATTTAGTGACTTGCAGCACAACTTATTATACAGGGTTGTTGAAGGGGGATGGAACACTACAAATGTGCCTTGAGTTTCTGAACAAAGATGGGAGATACACACATGTGCCTGTTTGTATGGCTGGAAAGGGGCACGCAAAGCAATAAAAACATTCTTCATGCACCTTAAATTTGTTGCTTCTTTAAGCAACGAAGCATATGATGAGTCAATTCCTTACTGTTGGGTGAGGAAGGAGGGAAGGCGAGACTGGCAGGAAACTGTCACGGAATGTTCAAAATGACCATCAGATGACCACAGCTGCAGCCTGAAGCAACCACAATTTCCCCAAATTTCATTCCCTCAAGAGTCATTGATCCCGGATTTGGGGCACATTCTGTAAGTTAGCCAATGTAAGGCACCTTGGTTCAAAAATTGTTACCCTATGATGTACTATTTCACTTTGTTAATGGTAATGACAAAGTTTTAGTAGTATATAGATCAGGGCTAGGCAACAATGGCAACTTTATGACCTGTGGATTTCAACTCCCAGAATTCCTGAGCCAGCAGCAGTGTTTGACTTGAGTATCAACATCGTCATCATAGGTAATTTGCCTGTAAAAAGAGAACCATATTTTGGAATCCATTCCATGTTATGGCATCTCTAGTGGGAGAGGCAAGAACAGCATTTTAAAAAAATTATTTATATAATGTCTGTAGTCACCCATCTCAGCAAATTACTCTGGCGGTTCACAATTCAGGATTTTCTCAGGATGCCAGAATGCGGACAACTCCTTGAAGGACTATAATTGAAACTTCACAATGTGAATGTCATGTCACAATGTGTAAAAGGTTCAGATGAGTTGCTTTATATAAACTACCAATCTATAATAGCTTGAATAAAAAGTGCTATACTGATTTGAAAAGCTAAAATATTATCTAACTATGAAATGAGGTTATCTAAGTTTATAGGAGTAGTATTTATATTATACCTGGCATTGGTTTTGGATACTTTGCTCATATACCAGACATGGCTTCCATCTATTTTAGCCCTTTTATCTTTTCAAATCATTTTTATGCTCTTTATTCCTTCTATAAATTTACATTTTTGAGAAGCTCTTTTGTCTTAAGCCAATTGTGGTTTAATTGTACTGTAATATCTTCCCCACTATTCTAGTTCCTATCTGTCCCATCCAGCAAATGCAATCTGGATGGAGATACTGTTCCTGTAGAAGACATATGTTATGACTTCTTCATTCATTCTATTAATGCAGTGTTTCTCAACCTCCTCAAGTTTAAACTGGGTGGACTTCAACTCCCAGAATTCCTCCAGCCAGCATGCTGACTAGAGGAATTTTGGAAGCTGAAATCTGCCCAGCTTAAATTTGCAGAGGTCGGAAACATTGTACTAATGTTTCGCAAAGAAGAGGATGCATCGTTGTCAATCGTTATTAATGATTCGGTAATCTTTTTTTTTTCTTTTGCTTTGATTTATATGCCGCCCTTCTCCAGAGACTCAGGGCGGCTTACAATGCGTTAAGCAATAGCCTTCATACTTTTGTATATTTATACAAAGTCAGCTTATTGCCCCCACAAACTGGGTCCTCATTTAACCTATCTTAGAAAGGATGGAAGGCTGAGTCAACCTTGAGCCTGGTAAGATTCGAACCTGCAGAAATTGCAGGCAGCTGTGTTAATAACAGGGTGCATTAAACCACTGTGCTACCAAGGCTCCTGTTACAGAGCATCGTATTACTCTCTGAAAACACTTTGTACCCATTCAAGAAACACAAGACAGGCTGACTGTGATTTACCTGCTACTATTTTACTCCAGTGTGTACTCCCTAAAGTCATTGCTTCCTTTAGAATGCCAAGATGCTCTTTATTTTTATTGTAGCAAATTGCTTACACATTCACTTGAGCATTTGTTTACTTCTTTTTGTTGCCTTTATTCACCAGTATCTATATTTCAATCAAAAGCTCCTGGTTTAGAAATTAATCGTTGGTTAATTTTATAAGGTAACGCACTATGTCAATTGATAGCATTATTAAATAATTAGACATCTATTTGCAAGTTTTAATGCAAGATATTTATTGCAGAAGCAAAACATTTACATGAAAATGCAAGGTCATAGGAAATCCCAGTAAGTTTGCAATTAGCAGATTTACATAAAAATAAATCTCTGAGTTTGATAGGACATACTATACTTCTAAATTATTATGCTTTGTGCTGGGTAGTGTATAAATCACTGATGGAATAATGAATCTGAACTATAACTGTAGAGAAATATATTGAAAGAAATATAATTAAAGAGGGCATGTCTGAGCTTTAGAGCATCCAAATATACTGTAGAAAATGCATTGTTGACAATATATTAATGTATAACAACTTGCATTAGCTTAGCTTTGAATTTCTTTGAATTAAATTGTTTAATGGATCCAATATTTAAATATTCACGAAGAAATAGTTTGATTATTTTACAAAGACCATTTATGTGGCTACCCTTATTTTACAAATATATTAATCAGAATGATTGCTCCATTGTAAAGAGGAGCTGTACTTGTCCATTTTTAGCAAAGAATCTAATGCTTATAAATTTTGAAGCAGAATTGGCTTTATGTGTTAAAATGAAGATGAAATTTTACACAGAAACATTAATTAACTGTATAATTAGTCCTTGCTGGAAATGAAGATATGTTCTATACCCAAAACTGTGCAAAGAGAATTGGAGAGTGCCCCTAAGTTTTCTAACCACTACTAAATGTTGAATTTATAGAAGCTGATACAGGTTAAAGAAAAGTTATAAGATGCAAAGATGGTGAAAATAAGGTTTGCCAAACAGAGAGTGCTTTTCAAGGATCTTTGAAGGTGATGAGGCAAAATTCTAGGACGAGCTATTAAAGGGGAAAAAAAATCTCTCAACTATACACCAAAATTCTTGATTGAAGTTCCTTAAGAATGCAGGTGATGTGATTCAAGGCCTCACAGCTAAGCTGACATCCAACTGCGCCTGACCTCCGAAGCACAAACCAATGCTCTCAATTTTCTATTATTGTACGGTGGGTAGCGCATTTTGTTCATCATCTCCATGCCCATGCAGCGTATAAGACAGCCACGGAAGTGAGTAAATGTATCAAAAGTAAACTTGCCGTGGTATTTGCCAAAGCCACTGTATCCTGCAATATTAAAAAAAAAATCATATCAAATCTATTTATTCTTTTTCATCAGGCAGGACAATACCTGCCCTTAAAAAAGGTTTTCCCCCTTAGTACTTACTATAAAAGGTTTAATATTCAAATGGATATTTTTAAAGAAGGGACTAAAGAGAATTCAGTAGAGACAAGCAAAGCTTAATTAAATAATAATTTCTTAGTCTGCTAGGTTTCATGATCATTGAACTACAGCTGCCTTAATCCACAATAAAATGAAACTACTTTTTTTTGTTATCATGATATCTAAAAATTGAAGAGAAATTAAAGATGCACAACAGTTTATCCATGTTTTGTAGCCAAAATGCAATATTGATTTACACAGAATGTTAACCTGTATTTAGTATAGTGTGTGATCAGGCCTACTGACCCAAAGCTACTTATCCTGTTGAATATTTTTGATCATGTTAGTACCACTTACAAAATCAAAAATATTAAGCCCTCTCCTTTTACTCCCATTTACCAGTATAACGTAGACCACATTTCCAGCCCTCTCCTTTATTTATAAATAACCACATAGCTTATAGCACAGTGGGATATATATTATTTGATCACATTTGATTCAATCTGCAAATATGCTGGACATAGTAAAAAAAATGAAGTGTTTGTCTGAATGAAAAACATCAAGTGGGAGAACTTTTCATGTTGGAAGGTAAGGATAAGGATGGGGGCAAGAAATGGAGACAGTATAGAAGATAAAAGGTTAATCATACCAATGCCACCAAATGGTAGGGTAACTGTTAGTGCCTGCATCATGGTATCATTGCCGCAAAAACTACCACTGCTAGTATGATCCAGTACCTGGTGCACAACCTATAAAGAGAAAAAGAATAGAAGAGTATTAGGAGTCCTGTTCTTAATGTTCCAAACACGAGTTTGATCAGGTCCCAGCTCTATAATAATATGGGACATGATACAAACAAGGGACTTTAACCTTTGAGCCACTACGAACATTTAGAATGTTGAAAATGTGCCACAGACACACTCACAAAATGGCTAATATTGTAGATGGGGCCAATTAGCCGTTTCCTAAATGTCAATTGGAAGGCAAAAATAAAGAATCTTTATGAATCTTAGTAAAAAAATCGAGAGATTGAAAATACACATGACCATTTTTGGACTCACCCACCCTGATTTCTACTTTCATGCTCTGATCATACAGAGCCAAGAGTGAGGAATGGAAATAAAAATCACAAGTTTGATTAACATAATCAATGTCCTCTCTCAAGCAAGTCTAGGACAACTTACCACAACCAGATCGCCATGGATGGGTGGTGTAACTAGGTGGTCACAGATGGGTGGGCATGGTGGGTCAGTGCAGTGGCCATGGCCAGGTTGGCATGGATGACTTGGTGCGGATGACTCATCATGGCTAGGTGGGCACAGATGGATGGGCATGGCCAGATGGGCATAGATAGGCGGGCACAACTCAGTTGGCACAGAACAAGTTGCCCCAGCCAACTGGATGTGGGGACAACTTTGTGCCCCACCAGAAGAAACATCAAACCATAATGTGCACCAGAGCCCTGCAGTGGTCAATCTGCCGTCCCTGAGAACAATTTCCCCTCACCCTCTTCTTTTTGTTCTGGCTGGGCCTGGCCCATCTGGTTACTCCTGAAGGAATGCATCATGTAAGGCTGCCCTCCCCCCCTGCCAGCTAGAGTTTCTGCATCGTCTCAAGATCCCAGCAACCACCCGCCTGCTTGCCGGTAAGAAAGGGAGTGGGATTGGAGTGGAGTTCTCTCCTCTTTTCCTTGGAGAGTTGCAGAGAGAACTATGGCATGGCGATCTTCCAAGTGGAGAAGAACTCTGGGCAAGTAGGTAAGTGGTCGCTGACGATTTGAGCCAACACAGGACCTCTGGACAACTGGGGAGGGACAGACTTCCTTGATGCATCCCTCAGGAGCAGCCAGGCAGGTGAAGCGAGGTGGGCCAGGCCAGGCCTGGCCAGAGGAGGAGGAGGAGAAGGAAGAGGGCAAATGGGGAAGTTGTTCTTGGGGGCAGTGGATTGACCACTGCCAAATTCCAGTGCATATTAGGGGCTGGTGTTTCTTCTGGTGGGACACCGAGTTGTCCCCACATCCAGTTGGCTGGGGCAACTTGTTCCATGCCAACCGGGTCATGCCCACCCATCTGGGCCCACCTAAGCATGATGAGTCATCCGCACCAAGTCATCCATACCAACCTGGCCATGCTCACTCTGCGCCAACCCGCCTTGTTCCACACCGAGTGGGTCGCACTCACACACCTGTGAGTGTGTGAAGTGACCTGTGCCAAGTCAACCACTCTGATCTGGCCATGACCACCCATCCATACCCACGTATCATGCGCTGACTTGGCCACTGTGAGTCATCCCATTCTATTCTCAACCAAGGGCTTTTACATCATAAACTCAGGAGTTTCTCTCAACTTCTCTGTTCCCAGATAAAGAGAAATATTTTTCTTTTAAAATGCATAGGAGACCTCTGAGGTATAGAGCAAAAATGTCAGTGTCTGATTGTGGGGATAGGGCAATGGGGGGGGAATGGGGGGAATCTTCCCATTACCTCTGATAAATAGTTGAAATTACTTCCAAAAAGTTGGCAGGTGTCCAGGGACAGAGAAAGAAAGGACTTTTCTTCAGGAATCCAGTGCAATTGGAATCTAGGAGATAGCAAATCTCCAAAGGATTCCATGTGCCCCAGAATGAGGGCTGCGCCTTGGCCCTTATTCTTAACACTGGTACACCACAGGGTTGCGTGTTGAGTCCCTTACTCTATACTCTTTATGTACCTGTCTGCATTCCCACTCACGCTAGTAATACTATTATTAAATTTGCAGATTTATATTTTTATTTTTATATTTATATTTTATTGAATTTGTATACCGCCCTACTCCCGAAGGACTCAGGGCGGTGAACAGCCATAGAATAAAACATATGAATACAAAATTTAAAATAAAATAAAACGAATTAAATAATTTGGCTGAAAATTTAAAACCCCAATAATTTAAAACCAAATTTAAAATTTCCATTTAAAAAGGGGAAAAACTTAGGTTAGGCCAGCTTGATGAAATAAGTACGTCTTGAGCGCGCAACGGAAGGTACGCAGATCCGGGATCCTCCATCTCTGGGGGGAGCTCGTTCCAGATAGTAGGTGCCCCCACAGAGAAGGCTCTCCCCCTGGGGGCCGCCAGTCGACATTGTTTGGCCGACGGCACCCGGAGGAGCCCCTCTCTATGGGAGCGTACTGGTCGGTGGGAGGCTATTGGTGGTAGCAGGCGGTCCCGTAAATAACCAGGTCCTAAGCCATGGAGCGCTCTAAAGGTGATAAACAAGACCTTGAAGCGCACTCAGAAGACCACCGGGAGCCAGTGTAGCTCGCGCAGCAGAGGTGTTACATGGGAACGCCACGTCGCTCCCATTACCACCCGCGCGGCCGCACTCTGTGCCAGTTGGAGCCTCCGAGTGCTCCTCAAGGGGAGCCCCACAACAGTGGTGGGACTCATCTCCGGGTAGGATGAGTCTGCCTATCGAGATGAGGTGGACCACTTGCTTTCATGGTGTGGAGACAACAATTTGGTCCTTAACACCAATAAGATCAAGGATCTTATAGTGGACTATAGAAGGAATAAATCAGACATCCAGCCCTTGCTTATCAATGGAGACAGAGTGGAGCAAGTGACCAGTTTTAAATTTCTGGGTGTTATCATAAAAGAGGACCTGACCTGGGGCACTCACATTGCAGCACTGGTTAAAACAGCCCAGCAGAGATTATACTACCTGAGACTTCTCAGGAAACAACAACTGAATGAAACACTGCTGTTGGCCTTCTACTGTTGCACCATAGAGAGTATTTTAACTTACTGCACCTGGGTATGGTTTGCCAATTGCACAGTGGCAGACAGGACAGTGCTCCAAATGGTTAATATCATTGCCCAGAGGATCATTGGTTGCCCTCTCCCCTCTTTGGAAGAGCTTTATAGCTCCTGCTGCCTTAAGAAAGTTTGAAATGTTCTTAATTATCCATCTCATCCTGGGCACCCTTTTTTTGAACTATTACCCTCTATCACCCAGACTGTATTACCAGTGGGCAAAGAACTGCTATCATGTTGGTTCATCACAGCTTACCACATAAACGTATTTTGAAAATAGTGCAAGTCTCCTTTCTTTTGGCCATTGTGGATGGGGTTATGGGAAATACGTAATCCAGATTCTCCCACATAAAGCATGCTGTAACTAAACAGTATACCTTGCAGTTAGAGGAGAAAGCATACAAAGCTAGTGGGCGTTCTTGGCAATTGATGAAGTCTATGGCTTCCTCCATATCTTTCACAATGAATATTGGCAGGATGGGCGCAAAAATTTCCTCTTGCATGACTGGATCCCATTCTTTCACATTCACCAATACTGTGGGAGCTGTAATGGGCAAAAAATCACATCAAGATCTGTTCCTTTTATATACTATAACTTTATCATCCAATTTAACTAGAGTTTTAGCTTTCCCCATGACTACATTTCCAATACGCGACACCAGAAAACATGTCTGTGTTCTTGCTTTATTTAAAACAGATTTTCCCAGTTTCTCACTTGCCAGCTCATTAAACTTCAACTTTCATAAAAAAACTTACTGTGTGGCCAATGACAATTAAAGTCCAACATATTTGATGCACACCAACTTGGAAGGGTGATCTACAGCCCTATATCTACTGATAATGCACTTCTTAATAAGCTTGATTGATTATATGCCATCATCCTTTTCAACTCCTAGTGACCACACAGATTTTCTCCATTGTACATAGATAGTACAGCTAGTCCTTGACTTATGATAGAAATTGACCCCAGAGTTATAGTCGTAAACTGTGCCTGTCATTAAGCAAGTCATAAATTGACTGACTCAATTTTACAGACCACTTTTTTTGCAATGATGATTACGTGAAGATAGTGATTGCTAAGCAAACTTAGCAATTGTTAAGCAAACACATTGTTTGCAATTGTGTTTTTTTACCAGAAGTAAATGAAAAAATCATACTGAGCACATCAACAAGGGTACTGCAAACCTATAAAATGCAGGCTGGTTGCTTGGTGCTCAAAAGGCAATCATGTCACTATGGGTTGTAAGTTTTTTTTTTTTTTTTGAGGTCCCTTGTAATTTTGAATGGTTGATAAATAAGGACTTCTGAGAATCACAAAATGTCTTCCTGTCTTTCCCAAACTCCAAATCTGTCTTCTTTAGTCTTCCTCCAGTCCCAAGTTGTATACTCACCAATGTACCGCTCAGACTCATCAGTCTCTCCACCTATGGCCACATGGGCACATTCCAGCAAAGCTTGGGCACGCTTGAAATGCCTGTCATTCACCATGCGGCCATAATCAGGTGACTCCTTGGGTTCGTTGCCAAAAAATTCACAGATAGATTGGCGCAGACAAGGCAACAACTTCTCTTGTGCTTCAATTGTACAGATCACATAATCTGGTGCAATGCATGTCTGTCCAGAATTGAGGAATTTTCCCCATACAATTCGGTTGGCTGCATTCTGGAAATCGCAGCACTTATCCACATAACAGGGAGTTTTACCCCCCAGCTCCAGAGTTAATGGTGTCAGATGTTTTGCGGCAGCGGTCATGACGATCTTTCCTACACGGCTATTCCCTAAAGAGATATGGCAAAATTTGGGTCAAGAGAGATATATAACGTAACACGCATCCTATATCAGAGTCCTCAATTCTGTGCTCAGAAACCATCTGTGTTGGTTTTTTCTCTCTAACATTCTTCCATACAGTTTTGCAAAACTCTATACAAATTGTTTTTTAAAAAATCCACTAAGTGTAAATAACAATTGGCAAAGCAACTGTTTCCAGTGTTTCCTACAGTTTTTATTTCATCCAATCTTATTTCGTCTGTAGAAACTATTCTTTCCACCTCCTCATTCAAGTTATTAAAAAGTATCCATTTAGAGCTAGAGTGTATTAGGGACAATCCATTAAAATTCCATGTCAACTTGCTGTCAAATTCCTGTTGTCTTTTTAAGATAATCCTGAGCTGTTCTGGCAATGAAAGAGAAAAGCAAATCTGAGAAAATTTATGTGGGTTGAAATGAAGTACCTTCACTGTGTGGAAAAAAGCTCAAAACTGATCTTTTCATTATTTCAAACAGCTGACATTCTGCATCAAGCATAGGCTTTTTCCTACTTGCAGTGTGACTACTCATCTTTTCTACCACTTGTGGGCAAGATCTACAATCTAGAAGCTGCTGACAGGCGAACTTAAAAATGCCACATGCAACAGTTTCCCTGGCCTAACTTCTCATTAACTCAGATAAAACAGTAAAGCAAATTCCTCAATATGCAATGCCTTCTAGAAAGGCAATGTATTAACTACAGAGATAAATTCTACTGCAGATGGGAGGTAGGGGCAGGGTCATAAAGGATGATGTTAGAGAAATTATCTGAAGCTTTCAGTTTCAAGGATGCTGCAAACAACTGTAAATGCAGGGGAATTGTGAAGGGCCCAAAAAAGCAATGAATTACCACACTGCATCATTAATGCAGACATTAATGATAAATATTTTTAAATACTATTAAAAGAATAACATGAAAAGGATATTTAAGAAGAGAAAATCACCTGTATAGAAGATATAATCAAACTTATTTTTCAGTAATTGTCCTGTTTCTTCAGGACCAGCTGTCACCACAGCAAAGGTTTCCTATAAAATAGAAAAGGAAGTTCACATCCAATCAAACTAGCCTCCACATCACACAAGTGATGTTTTTTGTCCCTGAAACGTTGCAAGGCAAAAAGCCTCTTGGGAGCAGTTTGGAACACAGAAATGATGCAGTAAATTGAAAGTAATTAAGATTTTTCTTAAAACATTTTAATTTCAAAATGAGATGTCTGCTTTTGATGTAGTGAGCATATGGTAATACAGGTAGTCCTCAATTTATGACTGTTATTGAGCTTGAAATTACAGCTGTAAATTGTGCTGGTTGTCAAGTATATCACCACATGATTATGTCTGATTTTATGACCTTTATTACAGCAGTCATTAAGCAAATGCAGTAGTTATTAAGTGAATCCATTGTCTGCAATGGGTGTTTTTTGTCAGAAATCACCAGTTTTCAGCAAAAAAAATATCATAAATTGCTATCATGCAACTGCAGGATGCTGTAAACAACTGTAAATGCAGGCCACTTGTGAAATGCCCAAAAATGCAATTATATAATCTTGGGGGGTGGGGGGAGGGGGCATCAGAAGTTCCAATCTGGCTTGTAAATAGTCCTGGGATGACAGTTGCTGAGTGACTGGTAGGATTTTGGGGTGGGGGATCTAATCTTCCTATGAGAGTGGAATTGTCTTACATTTATAATAATTTCTAAGCCTCAAATCTCAAATCTTCCTCTAATGTCCCCAAAATGGTTTTCCATTAAAATAACAATCTATAGTCAGTTTACCAGCCTCAGAAGTTTACCATCCATCACAATCCAAAAGAAAATACATTTGGGAGTGGGGGATTTCATATGAATTGGGACAGTTGGAAATAATCTGACTCAGTTTCCAAAAATACATAACAGTTTGAAATTAGTTCAGAACCAGTGGGTTGTTTTTTTGTTTTTTTTTGAAGGGGCCCAAGGAATTACAGTTAAAATTTCTAGGAAATTAAGGCAGGTGGCAGAGGAAAAGGCAAATCAAAAACCCTCAGTTTCATTTTGATTTTTTAACAAGGTAAATTGGAAATTAATGAACTCACCGGATCCATATAACAAGGCAATGCTTCTGCAAGAAGCCTTTCAGTGTAGCTGGACAGCTCTGAAGGTTTGAGAACCACACAATTCCCTAACATGGGGAGAGGATATTTTACCAAAGTTGCAACAGATAAACATCCATCACCTACCTGGATCTCCTGTAAGAACACCCATCAGATGTAATATCTAAAATGAATTGGAGATAACTTGTTACTCACCAGCTGCAATGGCACCCACAAGGGGCAACAAAGTAAGTTGGATAGGATAGTTATAGGCTCCAATGATCAGCACCACACCATATGGATCCTTGCGAATGAAGGCAGAATCCATCATTGTCAACTATTTAAAAAAAAACAAACAGAAAAATCCATGACATCAATTGGGTGAAGTAGAAATGGAAATTAATAGAGGATTTTGTAAGAGTGGAAATACTTTGATGCCTGCTTTCAAATTAATATTTGCCCTAATGTATACAAATTAACATTGTTTATCCTCTCCTTTGTCTTCTTTTTAAAGGCAAGGCTTTAATACCACAGACATTTGAAAACCTGTGCCAAAGTGCTTTCATTTTCAGTCATGTATGCTTGATTTGTTTAGTTAATACTTTGTTTAATCTCAGTAAGATTCCATCTCGATATTTACATCAAGTATTTCTGATATAAAAAAGAATTCCCCATGCTAATTGATTATGAGTGTGTATTTCTGTTGCAGCTTGGGGAGCTGACACATACGAGTGCGCACACATTCATAGTGTATACACTTGCCCTCCAGGAAGCATAGTAGACCATATCATGGAAGGGAGGGTCCAAAATAGTGATCAATTTTAGAAGTCCTAGGAATTGTGAAGAGTGTGTTTTTACATTTGGAGGAGAGGGTTAAGGAATGGAAGGATTGCCTTAATGGAATGGAATGACCATATTAGGTTTACAAGACTTTAAACCCCCAACTTTCCCCAAACCCATCTAACAACTGCAACTCAACTATCCTGTTTCCCCCAAAATAAGACATCTCCTGATAATAAGCCCAATCGGGCTTTTGAGCACATGGCAATAAGACCAAGTGCTTATTTCAGGGTTCAAAAAAATATAAGACATAAGGTCTTATACAAAATAAGGTCTTATTTTGGGGGGAACACGGTACATGTAAATTTAATAACAAAATCAAGGGGAAAAGGCCAAAATGTTTGATCTTATCACACATTCCACAAGGCTCTGAGGGCAACAGGGAGCACTATCATTGACTTTATGTCAAATATGGATTTTAAACATTCTGTTGAAGGTCAATCTCCCTGAAGATTGTAAGGACCTTTATGTCAGCTGTAGGTAGGACCAAAGAAACCATTCAGGTTAGGGAAAATCCAAGCATAAATGGGATGATTCGTTCTCTTTTCTTTTTTTGTGACATCCACTTTTCTCTCTCCCCTCATGTAGTACGTTTGGCAACTACTGTTGTTCCTACTAAAAGCTTGAATCAACAGCTTGCAAAGAACTCTGAAATCAGGTCATAGGCTCTACATTCCTACATTTGCCTTATATATGCATGTAAAACATAAGGATAATTTCACACATAACAGTTAAAACATTTTAATTTCTCTTGCACTGTGCACTGATGAGATTGCTGATCATACAGACTAGAAAGCAAACAATAGCTATAAGTAACTAGGATTAACTGAACTATGAAGGTTATACTTTGATTTATTTGAAGGGTAGTAAGTTGGAAAAATCTGTTCTAAAGCAATGTGACTTCAATTAATCTAAACCGAAGTGCAGAAATTATCCTTAAAAAGCAGCTAGAACTTGTTCCTCTGATGGCAGGAAAAGTATGACCCTACGGATCTTCATTTAGAAGCTGACCCAGAACCTGTACATATCAATAACCTGATGTCAACCTGTTACATTAAATTACAGATCTGGTAATTCTCAAGTACTATGGGACGGGTAACAGGCAGGGAAGATGGAAACATTAATACTCCAATAGTTAAAGATTTGTCTTCCAAGATGAGCATCCACCTGTTTTGAAAGGACACAGGTAGAAAGCCCATCTTCTGTTTGATGAAATAATACACCCTGTAGACTTTCATCCCTATCCAACATAAAACCATTTCTTTCCATTTGTTCTTCACCCATTCAGTTTAACTTCTTACTAGACTCTTGTTCACATTTTCATCCCTCATCCAGCAGTGTAAGTTGTTCAAAGCGTAGGCCAGTTCATTTCTGACTGGCAAAACCTCCGTGATCTCAGTTTCAAAGCAGGGCTGTGGAGAAGAAAGACAAAATGAGATACATCGGTGATATCCATACCGAGTACAAGAGGTGAACTATGAAGCAATTCATTGAGCTAAGTTGTGTCGCATTCAGCACATAGTACTGCTTTGTCATGCTATCATCCCAATTGATTCAGGAAATTTAATGCTTGAGCTTTACACCAGGACATGGCACTACGTGGTACTCTTTACAAGAGGTAGATACAGGTAGTCCTCGACTTACAACAGTTCATTTAGTGACCATTCAAAGTTACAACAGCACTGAAAAAAGTGACTTATTACCATTTTTCATGCTTAATAGTACCATTGCAGCATCCCCATGATCACATGATCAAACTTCAGATGCTTGGCAACTGGTTCATATTTATGACATTTGCAGCATCCTGAGGTGAAGTGATAGATTTTTGCAACTTTCTGACAAGCAAAGTCAATGGGGAAGTCCAAGTCACTTAGCAACTGTGTTACCAACTTAACATCTTCAGTGATTCACTTAGCAAATGTGGCCAAAAAGGTCGTAAAATGGGGCAAATTTCACTTAACAAATGTCTCACTTAGCAACAGAAATCTGGGGCTCAGTTGTGGTCATAAGTCAAGGACTACCTGTACTTAACCCTTAATCAGGCAGAAGGCTTGCAGACAAACTCAATTACAAATGAAGCCGTATATAGTCAAATTATTCACTATGCAAAGAAATCAAAGTCTTGATAAGTTTAGACTTTTTCTACCCACTTTTCTGAGATAATATATATTTGGCTGTACTCAATCATTTTATGAGAATGGTCAACTATGTTTACATAATGATTTTCTGTAGACTGATAATTGCTGCTTGCCACCTTGCTAAATTCAGCTCTCATGGCCCATACAGAAAGTATTGTTTCCTGTTCATAACTTTTTCATCGGAAATCCAGCAAAGAGAAAAATGGAATAGCTGTGCCATGTCTATTATGGCAAACAAGTCCATCTGCAACTCCCCTCTGAGCTGCCAGATGCTCTGGATGAGAGGCTCACTCACCTTGTGTAGGTCTGCACACAGGGCATGCTGGATATCTATGGCCCTTTCCTCCAGAAAGTGGCACAGAGCCTCCAGCTGACTGACTCGATACTCTCTTGGACGCGTCTTTCCTGTCATCCAGTTAGCACGTAAGTAATGCACTAGGTCAGTGTAGGAGTTTGTACTAGGACAAAACAAACACTCATAGAATCAAAAGATTGATGGAAGAGCCCCACTCTTTTTATCATTTATGTTAATCCTGATCCTGCAAGGCAGGGTGCCCTGTAAGAACTGGATGGATAATCGTATTGCTTTTTTTTTTTTACTTTAATAACAGAGTTTGCAAATTTCTGCCATGACTCATTCCCAACACTTCATACAAAGACTTCTATTTCAGACAAGACTCAAAATAATATTTTCCCTTTTGATCCACACTTGTGTCATTCTTTTTCTGAAGAATGTCATCATTTGAGCCAGAAGTAAGGATAGCTGCTGCCATACTTTTCTCTTGTTTTTTTTTTTTTACAAACTCAGCTGGTCATTTCCAGATAATAATCAAAGTCTTTTCTTTCATGTTTGGAATCAAAAATTAAAATGGTTGATGTGGTGGAGCATAATCTAACTACTTAGGACAATTGTATCTGTGCTCTGGCTTCCAGCCAGCCATACTCACTTCTAGGATGAAGCAACTTTCCCCAATCTAGTGTCCTTTACAAGAGATAGATCACAGCTCCCATCTTCTCCAACTATTCATGGTTTTGACCCTTTTGACAGTCTCTCTGCTGTTTTATATGCCAGGCAGTATCTGAATTTTACACCCACTGTCAGACATGGCCTTTTGCACATACACTGTGCAAAAGATGCATTCAACCTCTCTTCCTTCTTCTCCTATCCCTGATGAACAAATAGCGTTCTTTTAGAATATGAGGACTGAACTATGGGGCACAGAGCAAAATGTTTATATGTCTGAATTGGGAAAACAAACAGAGCATACCATCTCTCCATCAGTTCTGATAAATGGCTGAATTACCACAGTAAGTCCAGAAACAAAGAAGCCAGAGGACATTTCTTCAAGATTCAGGTTATTAATAAGGAACAGATAGCTGGTTCGGTTAGATATTGCATGAAGTTGTAAGTTCTTTCATTTGTGTTACCGTAGAAGTTTTCATCTATGCTACTCTTATTTCACTACACGGACATGCATTCTGTGGGTTTTCAGAGAGAGTCCAAGATTTACTTTATAAAATTGAGAGTTGATGTATAACTTGAAAACTACCTTTCTCCTAAAATAATTAATTACAGCAGATCAGCAACAACCCATAATTTGCTATGAGCATATTATGTATTTGTATAAATCAGGCTTATGGATCATATATCCTGATTTAAAAAAAAAAAGTTTAATTTTATTTTTTATGAGATTGACAACTGAGATGATCCATTCTGGTCCAGAATGCAGCTGTCCGCACAGTATTGTGTGTTCCAAGGTTTGCCCATGTTACATCTCTATAGCCCAAGCTGCACTAGCTTCCAGTTTCCTTCTGGGTGCAGTTCAAAGTGCTGGTTATCACCATTAAAACTGTACATGTCATGGGAACTGTTTATTTGCAGAACTGCCTCTCCCTAAGAGTGCCTGCCTGTCCTACCATATCCAATAGCTATTTCTTCCCTGAAATCCTATTACCTTGTGGGACTTCAAAAGTGAAGGTCATCACAACCTCTTTTTTTTAAAAAAAATCCAGAATAGAGTAGAATGAAATTAGTAATTGGAACTGGCTGCAAAGCATCCGAAGTGTAAGGTGCAGAGTTTTTGCTTTTGTTTGACAATTTTATTGTTTCATGGTTATGTTTTATAGTTACTGCATTTTATTGCTGTTGTGAACTGCCCAGAGTTGTTTCAAGACAGGTAGTCACACAAAGCTTCTAAATAAATAAATAAAACCCCTTTCTAAATGAAAGCTTGATCTGCCATAGTGAGTCCACTGCTTACCTATAAATCAATTTAAGTTCTCCATAGTACTTTTTTTTCCTAGTATGGATACTAAGCACCTGAACAAAGATACTTCTCTGTTAAAGAAACAAATGTTGCAGGAAAGCAGCAGAGTATTTGGCCAAGGACCAACAGACTGATGTACATAGAAACCAACGGATTCAGATCAGGTTGATGCTACTCAACTGTTACATTGAAATAATTACTTTCACAAGACTTCCTATTGTGAAATTTGGGCTGTTGAATCCCATTGATTTGTTCACGTTGGCTGCAAAGAATTACAAAATACCTTTGAAGTCATCAGGTTGAGCAGTGACAAACTGCCAAGATGTTTGCAGAGCCTTCCTGGAACAACTACAACTCACATGCCTGAAGCTTGCTAGAGTTACAGGTGTCACCCTGCATTTCCCAAGCTTGGGGACGAAATCAATCGCTTTGTACCAGGGGAAGTAATTCATGCAGAAGAATAGTTCATATAGACAGCCATTACAATGACCTTTTTAAATACAAGATGCTTTTATAATTTATCACTCATTTTCTCAGTTACCCTGATTATTTTTATTCACCTCACAAAGCATTCTGCACAATAGGCAGGCAGGCAGGATGGACAATGATGCCAAGCAATGTTGGAAAGAAGCAAGACAGAACCTACTGTCTGTCTGCCTATTACAGGTAATACTCCGCTTGCAAGTATTCATTAAGTGACTATTCAAAGTTAGAAAGGCAGTGAAAAGACTTATGGCCTCCCAAAGGTGCTTTTTCAGGAGGCAACTGGATCTTCTTGTTTTTTCTTTTGAAGACATTTCGCTTCTCATCCAAGAAGCTTCTTCAGCTCTGGCAAGATAATGGGGAATGGAAGGATTTATATTCCTTGCAGACAGTTGGCAATCTGCATCCTTTCAGAGGGTACAGATAGAGGATGCAGATTGCCAGCTGTCTGCAAGGAATATAAATGTCTTCAAAAGAAAAAACAAGATGGTCCAGTTGCCTCCTGAAAAAGCACCTTTGGACTTTTTTCACTGCCTTCCTAACTGATGATGACTGAGAATCTCTACAGATTTTTGACTTATAGCGTGTTTTCATACTTAACGACTGTTGCACCACCCCCATGGAGATATGATCAAAATTTGGGTACTTGGCAACTGGCATATATTTATAGCAGTTGCACTCTCTCAGGGTCATGTGCTGACAATTTGTAGCCTTTACAGCCAGCCAGCAAATTCAATGGGGGAAGCCAGATTCACTTAACAACTGCAGTGATTCGCTTAACAAGTGTAGCAGAAAGCTCGTAAAATGGGGCAAAACTCACTTAACAGTTGCTTTGCTCAGCAATGGAAAATTTGGGCTCAGTTGTGGTCATAATCAAGGACCATCCATATCTTGTTATTACAGGTACAGAACTGTTTGTTATGTGGAGAGATTATATTATCCCAGGTCTTAATCTAACGTTCGTCTCTAATGTATAAAATGTGTCTGTCTTCATCTCTGTTGCCCCCTTGTGAACACAATTCTAAATCCTCTCTCTGGATTCACACATCATGTTAGCCCATAATGTGATTTGCTCAGTTTTGATGTAACATCTTATGATAGTGATGGCGAACCTTTTCGGCATTGAGTGCCCAAACTGGAACACATGTGCATGTGCGTGCATGTGTGCACGCCAGCACCAGAAACCCAAAGACCAGCTGGCCGGCAGAAGCATGCCTGTTTTTTGGGCGTTTTGGGGGCCATTTTCAGGGCTGTTTTTGGCCCAGAAAATGGCCTGAAAACACCCAAAAAGCAGCCTAAAAACAGCCAGGAAAATGGCCTGTTTTCTGGGCATTTTTCAGGCCATTTTCCAGGCATTTTTCTGGCCAAAAATGGCCAAAAAACTGCCTAAAGACAGGCCAGAAAATGGCCTAAAAACATCCTGGAAAAGAACCCAGAAAATGGCCCCAAAATGGCCCTGGAAAACAGCCTGGTTTTCTAGAAACCAGAAGAGCAGCGGGCAACAGCGCACGTGCCCACAGAGAGGGTTCTGCGTGCCACCTCTGGCATAGGTTTGCCATCACGGTCTTATGAGAACTCTGCCACAAGGGTTTTAAGCAATATTTACAGTGTAGCATGATGTGTGAACAACCTTCTCAGTATAGCCTCAGTAAATCCCTAGACTCAGGTGAATGTGCTTCTGATTCATCTCTGTATATGATGTACTCTCATGCCATATACTCACCTGACTGATTCTTCTGTTTTACCAATAGAATATCACACAAACTGAGCTCAACAGAAAATACAGTCTAGTAATCTGGAGGGATCTCACCTAACCTGTTTTCCTCCATGCCAATTTTTTACCTTTCTGAGTCTTGGGATTCGCTGGAACTGCCCCAGGGTCTGGGGGACTTTGGATTGGATCTCTCTGGGGACCAACTCTGTGGGTTTCCACTTGGGTTTTCCTGAGGTTGTCTGTTTTCTTGTCTTCTTCTACCTTGCCATGAAGAGCCACTTTGGCTGGAGCCACTCTGAGTATATTGGGGGTTTTGTTGTGGCTTCATATTGCGACTCTGCATGCCACCTTGTTCGCTGGTCCAGTCCTCGGGTCTGCACTTCTTTCTGATAGTCTGCCTCCCCAAACTTGCAGGGCTCTGGGTGCTTTCATCTTCAAGAGGAATTTCATGGACTTTGTGTTCATCCAAGGTAGAGTCTTGTTGGTCTTCAGATTTCCTGGGCATGTCCTCAATTTTGCGTTGTTTTATGCCTGACTGTTCAAGAAATACAGTTGGCTCTATTTCTCCAGCTAGAAAAAGAGAAGAAAATAATCAAGCATGCTCTTTTGCTGCTATTAAATCCTACACCTTTTCTGTGTATAACTGCTAATGTTTACTATTTCTGTTAAAAGGGAATAATAGGTACACTAAGCACTAAGTCCGTTTCAGGAAGATTTTAATTCATTAACACTATTCATGGATTCACCTCTATTATAGTCTATATTGAAGAGAACAGAATTTGGAGCTATAGTCACAAGTTGTGACATGTCAAGGCATTCCCTGCCAGTTAATAAAAACTACATATATTTTAAATTATCACAAATATTTTTAAGTGCAAAGGGAGCCAGCCAGGTAGGAAGTGAAATGAGATGATAAAATCATCAATGTCATTTTAGTGTATTGAGAGAACCACGTTTTTAAATGGTGTAGTAAATTGATTGTAAATTTTACTGAAAAGTGGCATTGTAAACCACTGTGTAGAAAAATTAGATTTATGCTTTGTTTTTAAACTTGCACTTCAGCATTAAATAACTTATATGGAATCCCCTATCACCCCCCCCCTCACATACACACACTAACTTGCAGTTTGAAATGATACATATCATTCTGCTGTTTTTGTAGCCCAATTTTCCACAGCTGGTGGTTTCCAGTCCAGTTATACTGGACTGCAATTCCCTGAATTGTGAGCAAAAATGCTGTTGCAGAATTTTGGGAATTGTAACATCTGCACATTTGGAAACTATTGAAGTGAGAAAGGTTGGTGATTGTAGTAATAGACCAAACCAGATATAAATTCAAATAGCAAATTGTGTGTGTAGAAGTATTTTTAAATTCAGTAGGAACTTTTTCCAGAGTTTTCTATGACTGCAGTTTGACAAAAGAGCTGACTTGCAATGGGAGAATGGTATCCAATTTTAGAAATATGTATAAATTCTAGTGCTAAATAAACTAAACTTAAGCCAACACTAACTGAACATTTGCCACTTGAACAGATCGAAATAATATTGCATAGTAACAGATTTTCAAAAGTACAGTAGAAGAGCTTTATAATTAAAAAACAGAAGTATAATAGAAGCATATGCTATAATAGTATGCTTCCTTAAATATGATGGTGTTTAAGCTTCTGAATAACATCATGCCTATCCATGTGTATAATTGTATGGATGTTCTGTCTTTCTTTCAAGGAATTATTAAAACATTCACAGGCATTGTTCTCTTTTATCCTCATAGTAACTTTGAAACATGCTGAGTCTGATTTACCCATAGACATCTAATTAAAATACCAGGCTAGAGTGGATATCTTCAGTCAAAAACCATTACTTATCTCTGGGTGAGCAACGCCATGATTGATTTTGCTTCTTTTGATTTCCATAACTAATATCTAGAATTTGGAAATATTACATGTGCGGGGGGTATGAGAGCGGAGGGGGCACTTGCACTGCATTTTGGGGTTTCGTGAGCATTCGTGCACAAGTACTTGCACTTTGGGCACTCACCACCAAAAAGGTTAGCCATCCCTGATCTAGTTTAATGAAAAAAAGGATTGGGATAACATGATAGCATATTTGAGGGGCTCCAGAAAGACAAAGAGGTCAAACTATTTTCCAAAGCACCAAAAGGCAAGACAAGAAACAATGGTTGGAAACTAACCAAGGAGAGAAGCAATCTAGAACTAAAGAGAAATTTACTAAAGGTGAGAGCAATTAACCAATGGAATAGCTTGCCTTCAGAAGTTTGTGGGTGCTCCATCATTGAAGGCTTTCAAAAAGAGATTGGACAACCATTTGTCTGAAATGGTATAGGGCAGTGATGGCTAACCTTTTTCGCATCGTGTGCTGTGGTGGGTTTCAAATTTTTTTACTACCGGTTCTGTGGGTGTGGCTTGGTGGACATGACATGGCTTGGTGGGCGTGGCAGGGGAAGGATGCTGTAAAATCTCCATTTCCACCCCACTCCAGGGGAAGGATACTGCAAAATCCCTATTTCTTCCCGATCAGCTGGGACTTGGGAAGCAGAGAATAGATGAGGGCGGGACCAGTCAGAATTTTTACTACCAGTTCTCTGAATAACTCAAAATTTCCACTACCGGTTGTCCAGAACTAGTCAGAACGTGCTGCAACCCACCTCTGTGCTGGTAACCATAATGTAATGTGCCCCCTGTGCATGTGTGAATAAATCCCCACACTCCCCCTGCCTCCCCATGCATGTGCACGTGACCCCCCCACGCTCCTTCCGCACATGCGCATGCGCATGCAACCCCCTGCCTCCCCCATTTTGGGGTCAGCAGGCCTTCCTACAGTTTCCTGGGCCCAAAAATGGGCTGGGGAGGCGGAGCCCCCCCCCCCCGACCACGTTTTGGGCCTAGCAGGTTTCCCTGCAGCCTCCTGGGCCAAAAACTAGCCAAGGGGAGCATGCCACCCCCCAATTCCCCCTGCCCCCCATGCATGCATGTGCAATCCCCCCACGCGTCTCCCACATGTGCCCACCCCCCCTTCTGAAAATCAGCAGACCGGAGGGAGGCACGCGCGCATGTGCGGTGGAGCCAAGCTGGGTGACGGTGTCAGCATTGAAGTCTGACAGACGGCTTGCGTGCCCGCAGAGAGGGTTCTGCATGCCAGCTGTGGCACATGTGCCATAGGTTCACCATCACAGGTATAGGATCTCCTGCCCGAGCAGGGAGTTGGACTAGAAGACCTCCAAGGTCCCTTCCAACTCTATTATTATATATTCTAACATCAAGAATTGGTGGAGTTCTACTTAGCATGCATACCTCATTTTTCTGTAGTTTTAAGGCTGGAATGGCTCCAAACCAGTGGTGAGTTGTTCCCAGTTCACAAGAACCGGTAGTAAAAAAATTTAGTAGTTCGGAGAACCGGTAATAACATTGGCTGGCCACGCCCCCGAACTGGTCCCCAGCCCGGTCGCCACTTGCTTACCCCGCCCACCTCATCAGAGCCTTTTTTTTAAAAAAACTTTTAAAAGCATTTTTTCTACAACCTCTTCAGCTGAAAAAATGCTTTTAAAAGTTTTTTTTAAAAGCCTCTGATGATCACGTGGCTCAGCTGGGATCTTCAGAGGCTTCTGAAAACATTTTTTCTGCAACCTCTTCAGCCGAAGAGGTTGTAGGGAAAAAAATCCCTTTAAAAGCCTCTGGCGATCTCAGCATGTTTGCCTGATCGTCAGAAGCTTCTAAAAGCATGTTTTCCTGCAACCATCAAAACCTGCAAATATCTCATAAAATCAACCAATGGCAGATCCGATGGCCTCTGCTTTTCTCTGTTCAACCTTTCAAGTGACTTACATGCCAACACTTACATTCTCCTTTTAAGTGACCTACATACAAAGAAGTCATAATAAGTGAGGCAATGCTTTGTCCTAAAAACCTGAATATCATGCCAGTTTCCTTAAAAGTGTTATCCCTTTGGAAAACTTTGCAATTATTGTAATTATTGTAATTCCAAATGACTAATTAAAGGACTCACAAGAACAATTGTGTAAGGATCCTTATGCTCAAGTCTATATATAGAAAATTCATAATTTGCCCCAGAACCAACTCAGTGACTGGACATTTGATCAGGGCCAATTGTGGTGGTGGGGGGGTTAGGGTTATATTGTGATGCTCCAACTGCTGAACTTTGGACAATATAAGACTCTGCAACTACTCTTGAGATATTTTTGGTGGCCACGGGTTCATAATGAAGTCAATGATTACATATTGCCCTTTTGTACTTGAGCCAAGCTGAGCCATGCTGGTATGCCTTCAGGCTTATTATTATCTGTGCCTGTCTGAATCGATCATGGAGAGCAGTATCTTTGGATTTCCTTACGGATTTGCCACAATCAGAAAGTGCCACCACTTGGCCCTATTCACAAATAAAGATAAGATATAGGAAGGACCAGGAGGAGGGGGGAATAGGTTTGAAACAAAACAGGTTGGATAAATTATTAGAATCTAAAGAAGGGAAATTAATTTCAAAAATCTACAAATATTTACTCGAATATGATTTGGCAGAAGAATTAGTGAAAGGGCAGATGATAGCATGGGCGAGAAACATCGGGCACAGCCTACAGCTAGAAGACTGGGAAAGAGTTTGTGAAACTAATTACAGCATGACAAAATCGGTGGCCTACAAAGAAAATCATTATAAGATGTGGTATCGATGGCACCTGGCCCCTGCAAGACTTGCGAAAATGTACCCAAATGTAGATCCGACCTGTTGGAAATGCAGAAAAACACAGGGAACCTTCTACCATGCTTGGTGGCTTTGCCCCATCATTAAGAAATACTGGAACAAGGTAAGGATATGGATAAGAGAAATTACAGATTGTGAAATTGAATTAGAACCTGAGATTTTCCTATTGGGCATGATCAAAAAGAACATCCGAAATGACATAAAATACCTAATACTTCATATAATCACAGCGGCAAGATTAGTATTAGCACAATTCTGGAAAAGCGATCGATTGCCAACAGATCAGGAATTAATACAAAAAATATATACATGCGCAGAGATGGATAGACTAACCTTAGAGTTACAGGATAAGGAAGACTCTAAATATTATGAAACATGGAATAGATGGTACCAATGGATAAACCAGAGGAAAGGAAATGGCTAGAGATGAAATTTAGAAGAAATCAATATAACAAAAAACAGCACTGTCAGAGGTATAGAATATGGAATACTTTATTGTATGTTTATATATATGTACATATAATATATATATTTATATAGAATAATGGAAATTAGTTAATAGGTGACGTTTATGTACTGTATATGTAAATTTGTCTCTCAATTGGGAGAAACTTGTACGTGTTTTCTTTTTAAATGTTCTTTCTTTTAAACAATAAAGTTTATATTAAAAAAAAAAAAGTGCCACCACTATTATGGTTATTGTAGATGAACTTGCAAAAATGGCACATTTCATTCCTTGTATTGGTTTGCCAAATGTCGAAAGCTCTCACAACTGTTTATATAAACTATATTTCATTTACATAGTTTACCTGATCACATGGTTTCTGACTGTAGTCGTCAATTTATTGCCAAATTCTGAAAGGAGGTCTCTGAAGATTTGGGTATGCAGATATATGTGTTCTATACACCATCCTTCCATTCCACCTCTATCTCCCATTTCAGCTGCTAGCAAGCCTGAACATAAAGTTGCTAACATCCTGGATTCCTGGTTATATCAAGATTGCCTCCAGTATTTTAACAACTGGAAAGGCCCCGAGAAATGGTCTTGGGAGGATACATCCCAAGTGCATGTTCAATATTTAGTTTGATGGTTTCATCAATGTAATCCTCAATAACCTCACCTTATGATAGAGTAAAAGGGGCCCTGGAGGTGAGATAGAGTTATGAAGATTCAGAATCTGATCTTGAATCTGAGAGTGTTGCTCCAGCTGCAGCTGTCCTTTAGGGTTGTCAGCTTCAGGAATCAGGATTCAATTAAGGCTGATCAGCCACAGGCATCTCCTGTTCACCTGCAGCAGTCAGAGGATAAGGCACAATCCCCTAGCCCCAGGTTTAGTTGCTCACAGGGGCAAGCAGAGCAACACTCTTCAATGAGGCTCCTTTCTAGGCAAAGGAAGAGGCGTGAGTAATTGCAGAAAGAGAACATTTACTTCCTCCACAGAACTAGCAATCTTTTTAAAAAGCATTAAATACATGTTTATAAGCCTTGATAAGTGTCATGGTAAGCCCCCGTGAGGCATTTATGCAAGCAGATGCCTTCATGGAAGGCGGGTGTATATGATTTTTCCTGGAGTCCAAGCCAAAATGGCTCTAAGGGTAACTCTCAGTGACCAGAGGGTAGGGGAATGCCTGCGATAGCCTATAATGGGCAATGAAATCTCAACCCTTGACCATGTCAGTAACAAAATGTTCAATGAAACATGCCAAATCATGTCTCTGGCCAAAAAGAAATAGACTAAAGACATTACTTAAGAATCAAAACAATTAAGGATGTCTTCAATTTGTCTGAATGGAGGGTAAGATGAAGAGGATATCATGAAACACAGAAAAAAGAAATACTAACTGGGGCATATTCATATCATAATCATGAGTACAAAGAAGGTCCTTTCCCTCCACTTATGAGCAACTCAAAATAGAGGACAGAAGTATTTGAAAATAAATAAATAAATACACAAACAAACAAAGTGGAGTTTAACTTGCCAAGTCAAGTGTACCTGGAATCAGAGACTGAGCTAAAGAGCCTTGCTCTAAAACACTTTCTGAGTCTTGTCAACTTCTCAAGTTGTGTGAAGTTCAAATCTCAGAATTTCTCAGCCAGGAGGGCCATTGGTGAGAATTCTAAGAGCTGAAATCCACACATCTGAAAGTTAACATGTTAGGATACATGCTCTAATATCAGAGGATTACCAAAACTCAGATCTTCAATTAAGATAACATAAGTGTTATTTAATGAAGTGTTGATGCCCCTTTCTGAAATAACAACTTATCTTTTTTTAGGTTAGCATTCCTGGGTATATAATTTGCCTCAGGATGAAGTTTGACCTCTGCTGAATTGTCTAGAGTTCTAACAGCTGCTACTATAATATCATAATATTCCTCCTTGGGAAATAGATGTTTCTTTGCTTAAACTGCCCAATCTCAAAATAGGGCCAGGTTTCACTAAAGCTTTTGCTTGTCTTTGACTCTGCTTTGTCTTGGTACTGGGTTTAGTGGGGCAGATATTACTGTTTCTGTAAAAATTAAGTGTCTTAAACAGTTGAAAGAGGGATAAAATGGTTGCTAGTAAAGTGGTAAAAACGATAGCATTTTCTGTTTCAATTCTGTTAAGCATCTTGTTTTTCCATAAAATTTTGTTATAGCATACACTTTTTAAAGCAAAGCCTATTCTTGTGTATTTAATTAGATATAAACCAAAAGTATGTTTGCACATAACAGATTTGAAAATCAAATGCAAATCTATAAAAGGAGTTAAAAAGAATGCTAATATTGCATCTTTTATACTGTACTTAGTCTTCAGATTTCATTGAATCTTGTGCTCCTTTCTTTTATTTTCAAAAAGCAGGCTGAATGATTGAAAAACCACTATAAATATACTAGAGTTTAATATAAATTATATTCCTCATCTCCCTGGAAATATCGTAGGAAAACACCTTGATAAAACCTATTATTGCTAATCCAGGCTGTTCTCTCTAGAAATTGCTTGTTTTTAGATGGGACTTTGCTTGATCTTCCTAGAAAAGGATTTCTGCTCTGGTATTGCACCCTATTTTGTCATAATTTATTCAAGTGCTTCCATAAAAAGTGACACAGTGCAACAAAATAAATAAAAGTCTTGTTATTGACCCCTGAAAAAGGAATGGCCACTAGGAAAAGAAACAAGATAATGGCATTATGCCCTGGGCATGCTGGCTACTGTAGTCCTACCCATTCAGGATACCAAGTATGGATCTTCCAGATGAGGTTATTCTCATGCAAACACCTGTCTCATTTCATAGGGACTCCATTGTTCTTGCTTTCTTTTTTATTCCATTGAAAAACCTCACATTTGAAGTCCCCTAAGGAAGCCTCTTTCTTTTTTCATACTGGATGTTGTTGTTGTTTTTATAAAATCCCACAATGAAAGATTGGACAACATAGGTCCAAAGCAACATGGACGTCTTGATAAGATTTACTGTTAGGATAGGCATCCTTAAATCTTTGGTATTCACTTAGGTCAACACCTACAATATGCCTTTGTGGTGATAGCTCCTGGTTGCCTCTTTCTAACACCTCAAGATTTAATTCTAATCCTTTTCACTCTTTCCAAGAAATTTTGCAACACCTGAGGCTGAAGTCTCCAAATCAGTAGGTACATTGTTTTGCATGCTGAGGAACATGCTCCTCCCTAAGTTTTTTTTTTTTAAAAAACAAGTTTAACCCACATCTTAATTGCACACTAATTCCTGCCCTTCACTTGACCAACATAGAAAACACCAGATAAACAAAAATCCTTTTTTGGCTCAGCATACTTTCTCTGTACTTTATCCCTGGAAACAATACCTGGGCTTCTTAATATATTCTTATATATCCAAAACATTCATGCAGTATTCATTTTTACAATTATTTTATAATATATCCCTTATATCCATTTTACAGATGTAAAATCTGTACAGTTTAAAACTGTAAAATCTTAGAAGAGAATCCGATTAATGGTCCCTTAACTCCCTGGACCCATAGCTAAACTGGCAATATCAAAGTGGGACAACCTAGTGTCCTCCATATATTTGAGGCTAAAAAAAATTTCTCTTGTCACTGGCCACACTGATTGCAAGATATGCAGATTGCCATCTCAAGCAAGTAAGAGGAAAATCTAGAATTTGCTTCCAGCCCCTATTCTTCTTTGGTACCTGTTTCCATTGTTGTAGTTGTATTCCTCAGCCTCTACTTCTGCTTCTTTCTGCCTGGCTGGTTCTGGGTGCAACTGGTAAGTGGAAGTTTCTTCTCATTTATTTCTGGAGAACTGTTTTTTATTCAGCATGCTTATGTTGGTTTGTTTTCACCTCAGGCCAAGCTGATTGGTTGTTAGCCAAAGCCGTCTTGTAATTCATTGGTTGCTGAAGGTGCTGTGGGTGTGGCTCTGCAAAACCACAAGAATGGGAAGGGAATATTCAGTGCAAAGGATATGACTGGAAGGGTGGAGATAATCCATGTAGAGCATGTGAAGGCTGAGCTGGTCTTTTGGAACTATGTGGGCAGAGACAAGGAAAACAGGGAACTTGGTGGGGATGGGACAGGGGATTGAGAAAAACACAGAAATGATTCCTAATAGAATAGTTTATTATATTTATATACCATCCAGAGTTGTTGGGAGTCAGATAGATTTAATATACCGTCCTTATCTAGGGTCTGAAATTATTTTCTGTGTCAAACCTATTTGACAAATGTGAGTAGATCAATCAATCTAATTTTTATTATGGTGAAAACCAGCATAAGGAGGCTGGGATACAGTCAGTTAAAAAGCAAAGAAAATACATCAGGGTCTAAAAATAATAATTATAATAAAAATCTAAAAAATCTAAAACAGAATATATAGCATCCCCATGGTCATGTGATCAAAATTCAGACGCTTGACAACTGACTCATATTTATGATGGTTGCACTATCCTGCGATCACCTTCTACAACCTTCTGACAAGCAAAGTCAATGGGGGTTTTGTTCACTTAACAACCATGTTACTAATTTAACACCTAGAATGATTCACTTAACAACTGTGGCAAGAAAAGTCATAAAATGGGGCAAAACTCACTTAACAAATTTTCCTTTAATAACAGAAATTTTGGGCTCAGCTGTGGTTGTAAGTCAAGGACTACCTATATTTATGCAGTAATGGTGCGGTGAGGCTAGGATGAATGTCTCTGTAATGCAGACACTGGAGAAGCACAAGCTCCATCCTCTCAGAACCGATGAAGCTTCTTGGATAAGAAGCGAAACATCTTCTTCACTGAGGAAAAAACAGTCCAGATGCCTTTTGGAAAAGCACCATTGAGACAACTATGACCTGGATGACTAAGAATCTCCACAGACACAACATCTGTTGTTTTTGTTTGCCCAGCATCACAGGGACATTGTCTCTCCCAGCAGGCAATTTTCTTTTATCAGCCTTCAAGGACAGCTGAGGGAAGGGCATGACATGGTGCTGCAATAAAGGCCCTCTAGTAGTCAGGTACTTTGAGTTTAGCTATGTATATCACAGGGGAGGCAGAGTGCCTATTGGAATCATTGACAGTAAAGGCTGGGGACCTGGTTAGATTCCATGGCTCTCTGGTCTGCTACATGCTGCTTAATGAGAATTTTCGCTGATCATATCCCATGCTGGGTAGAAGACCTGTAGAGAAGCACAAGGATGATACCTTAGTGGTCACTGCCTTTTTCCATGTGGTTTGAAATGTGTCCCTCATAGTTAATGGGACAGGGCCAAGGGAGAAAAAGAATAATCTGATCCAATAGTTGAGCATGGACACCCAGACTCTAGCCTATACTTTCATGAGTTCCAGCTCTAGTCTCAGAGCAAGTCTAGTTTCATTTGAGTCATATTTTGGAACTTGAAGTGTTGATCTTAGAATTTTGGACTGAACAAGTTCCAATGATGCAAAATTCCGAGAAGGGGCCCAACTTGGCTTTATAAAGAAGTTGTGCTATTTGTTTGGCCGAATATGAGTAGAATTCAAGAGGAAGAAAGATCTTCCCGTTCCTAGCACTTACGGTTTTACAATATTGCAATGTTTTCATATTTAAAACAATGAGTGAAACAATGAGGAATGAAATATTTTGCACTCTTGGCTAGTTAAGGCTAGGCTTGTTCCTAACAGCGCAATAGTACCATGGGACTCATCCACTCTGACACTTAGTCTAATGCTTAAAATTCCACTCTTCTCTTTCCTCAGCCATGGTACCTCATCAAATGTGGAGTCCTTGTTTTGTTTTTTTCAAAAATTGGGGTGAGCCATAATCTTGACACACCATGTTCCTATCATAATCCTCTAAATGACACAGGAATCCTGTCTGCCCAACTATCACTATTATCCTTTTGCATCTCTGAAAATAATTATGTTAAACAAATATGTCATCTTTCAGGACATAATGAGAGTGTTTTAGAGTTAATATCTTTGAGCAGAACTCTTAATTGAGCATCCTGTGCTTCAGGGAACAAGTAACACTGGAAACCCTTTAATATATTTACTGTGGGGTAGTTTATATGAGTAGCCAGAAATATCTGCCTTATGAGTCATTCAGCAACAAGGTCTTTTATTGAATATGACCTTACCATTCAAGACTATCTGTAAATTGCAGCGTCATGAGTTTCTGCCATAAAACAGACAATTAGACAACTCAACTTGCATTGTTCTGCTGTAGGCTATGTGCAGAATTACATTGTTTTGTTTTCATTTTTATGAAGGTCAATGTACTCAAAAATCTGATCAGTGGAAAGATGGTTAATAGAGTGGTGAAATGTAAAATTTGTTACTACCAGTTCTGGGGCATGGCTTGGGGGGGGGGGTAATATGACTGAGTAGGCATGGTCAACTTTTTTTTTTTTTTACTTTTAAAACCATTTTTTCTACAACCTCTTTGAGAGGTTGTAAAAAAAATGCTTTTAAAGCCTCTGACGATCCCAGCTGACTTGCTTTCTTTTTTTTAAAAAGCCTCTGATGATCCCAGCTGAGCCATGCGATCATCAGAGGCTTTTTTTTTTTACTTTTAAAAGCATTTTTTTGGCCAAAGAGGTTGTAGAAAAAATGCTTTTAAAAATTAAAAAAAAGTCTCTGATGATTGTGCGGCTCAGCTGAGCAATAGGGGGGGCAGGGATTTTTGCTACCGGTTCTCCGAACCACCCGCCTCCATCGCTACTGGATCGGGTGATCCGATCCGAACCGGGAGCATTTCACCCCTGGGTTAATATAGACTGCAAGATTTAGTTCTTAATAAAACTAAGATGAAATTTTGCAAGACTCTTTTCTCAGAATGATCAAAACCATCTCATTAGTTTCAATATCTTCAAATAAGCAGTACAGTTCATGTAGTCTTTTCTTTAGAAGAATGGCACACCAACCTATGGGAATATGCATCATTATAAACAATATTCAATCAGATACAGAATTTAAGTTAACATAAAATCTGTGTATGGATTATTCTGCATATGGATTTAGACAACATTCAAGGTTGGACTTCTCCTAAAATAAAATTTTAAAACATTAGATCTTGTCTGATTGGTTATATTAAAGATTGACTTTCTTAGTTAGATACTAACTTAGTTAGATACTACTTTAACCTTAATTAAGGTTAAATATTTAAGAAGATAAAAGTCAACCATATCAACCAGCTGATTAGTGAGTTTTAGTTGATAATAGACAACCCTGTGACCAACTGGGTCACCATTTGACAGAAAGGTAGTGCTGTCTGATGTATCAAAGTAATGTTTCTTCTGATGTGACCAGAATAAAGATTAAATTTTAGGCTAACCATATTTTTTTTATCCCAATGCTGGATCATCATATGATCATCTAATAGGAGTATATAACATAAATAGAAAAATAATAATGGCAATCTACTTACCTAAACAGATAAATAGAATGACCATGGGGCAGGCAAAAAGCAATGGGAGCAGGAGTGACTTCCTATTTCCTGCTGGCTTTCCCATTGACTTTGCCAATGGAAAGCTGGCAGGGACTGTCAGAAATCATAATCATGTAACTGTGAGGATGCCACAACAGCTACAACTTTGTGAATAAAACTGGTCCGAACATCATGGAATTTCAATCCCACAGGAATAATGGGTCCTGGATTTTTTATGCATTTTTTAAATTAGCTGGTTTTAGGTATCTTGATTCAAAAAGTATTATACTATAATGCACTGAGGCTAACTTGAGGATACTAAAGGACAGGTAAACACAATGAGAGTTATAATACTATATAGATAGATTGAAGAATTGAAGGTAGTAGATAATTTATCTCCTGGATTCATAAATATATACAGACGAACAGCAAGTTCAAGAATAAAGAGATGATTAAATCTAGGGAGGAAAGAAGTGGCATAGAAGATCACAATGTTGTTTCTATGACAATTTCTTTCTCGTGGTTTCATCTTTCTCAAGACTCAACTCTCTTTTCTATAATTTCCTCTATAACTTCGCAATTCTCTGAATCAGCCTGGCATCCCATCACAGGTTAGGCTCAATTTAAAAATATCTAACTAATGTGGCCCTCTTCACAATGCGCCTGACACAATTGCAGGCCATATTGGAGAAAAGGAGATTTTGATTTCCTAATAGTCAGATTAAGGAGAGGAATGCCCAGGACTTGGGTTTAGTATGGGATGTCTAATAGCTATATTTTTCACTGTGTAGGGCTGGTTTCAGATATGAGGGAACTAACTTGCCTCTGGGTTATAAGAATTTGACACATTTTTACATAGTTCTTCCATTATTTGCCATTGTTCAACACCAAAGTTGAAGAAGTTGTTACAATTTCTACTTTTTAATTAACATTAGCTGCCAGAGGTAAACTAAAAATAAGCACTCTGTGGAAAAAGGTGTATGTGAGATACTGCAGGGGTGTCCTCCACTGAGGAAATTCAGATGAATTCAAATCATTATGAACTCACCTATGTCAGATTAAGCTATAAATTTGTAGCTTGGCCTGAAGGGATGCCTAGGCTCAATTGTAGTAGAATGTTGCCAGCTGCCTGTCTTGACAAAACATCTGCCAAGGAATAACAAATTCTATAGCACCGATTTTCCAGAAAGCAAACTGATGCTATGTTGTTCTTTGGTATGTTCGTGGGGGGAGGGGGGGAGGCATTTAAGTTTAGAAATGGATTTGAGGGAAATGGTTAAAAAATTGTTTCTCACTTGAATTTCAGTGGACTTGGTCCATTTTTTCTCCATCATTCCACGGTATGGATAGGACATAATGGGATGGGGAAGCAGAACATCCCAGATCCCAGATGTGTGAAATTT